AAACACCCTCAGTCCCATCTGCTCCTTTCACCTTCTGGCTCTGAAAAGTCTCTCTCAAGCTCTTCTCACATTCCCCTGTCCCATCATCTCAACAACATTAAAAGCAAACTGTTAAGCCCAGAGATCACAGCTTGTGAACCACCTCTCTGGCCCAAGCTCGGCCGTACCCTGCAGAGTTTTTCCAGAGCAGTGATTTGCAAAGCCTGGTGCTGAAATGGGAACTCAGGGAGACAAAGGCAAACTGTCAGGAAAAGGGTATTTCACTCACTCCACTCCCTCCACTCCAAGTAGGCTCCAGCACATGAAATGAGCTGGAAAAGCAGCCGAATCGCTGGGGCGTGGGGCTGAGCTTGAGCTGCTGGAGCAGCTCCTGAGCATCCTCAGGACTGTTTGAGAGAGGATAGGGCCAGGTCAGCAAGAGCTGGGCTGTTTGTATGAGTAATGTTGTAAATCTGAGCTGGAGCAAATCTCAGACTGTGTCTGTTCCTGCCCAGGATGGAGGAAGCATGAAGAGGAATAGAGAAGCTGCCGTGCGAGAGGCACAGAGATCATCGTTGGCACAGGTCCAGCAGGAAACAGATTAAGACCCATCCACTCACTTTACACAAGCAACCTGGACTCAGCAACCACAAAATCCCATGCTCTTCAAAATCCCATCCTCTTTGCCTTTCACAAACCAGATCCACCACGTTCCACACTCAAGGGGAAGAGGTCTGATTAGGGAGTCTCTGCCAAAGCCTGTCCCCCCCACGGCCACACTCTGATCACCAGTGAGGCAAATTACAGCCAAGGGTGCACAGTGACAGCTTGGATGGTGACACCAAGGCTACTCACTTGTCCTGATGCCTGCAGGTTGTAGCAGATGAGGTCCTGCTTGGAGGCTGGTGTGCTATAGAGAAGGGCACCAGCGAGCCAGCACATGCCCAGAAGTAGGTCAGAGAGGCTCAGGTAGAAAAGTGGCCGAACCTGGGGAAAGTGAAATTGGGCAGCAGGTCAGGGTGATGCTCACAACTCTGCCACGACCCCCCACAGCAGCTGTTTTACCCCATCCTCTGAAGAGGCTTTTGCCCCCCAGCTCTTCTGGCAGGGCAGCTCTCCTTGCACACAGACCCCATGCTGATTCTTGCTCTCAGGAGCTGTTTCAATGCAGAGCGCCTGCTCTTATCACCCTTTCTGACACTAGCAATGCCCCAGGATGCAAAAGCAGCATCAAGTCTTAAAGAAAACATCTAAAAGGTGCAGAATGCTACAATTTTTGCAGAATGCTACAATTTTTGCAGAACGGGACAGGCTGGCAGGGAGAGGCAATGTTATTTGTTAAACCAACTGATTGAGAAATCAGACTTTTGATAAACACAGACTCTTCTTCAGGTCTGAAAGAGCTTGAAACAGACATTTTTCTCAATGTGTTTGACACAGTTTTGGTTGGTGACTAGGGCTGAATCTGTTTTATGTGCCAGGTTAATTCACTCTGAGAGCCATTAGCCTCTCTGCTGCTCACCACGTTTTGCTGGAACAGAGTCATGTCTCCTCTAATGGCAGTTTCCAGCCCATTTCCACTTTGCAGGCACTGGCCAAAGGGACTGTAAACACTGTAGGAAAACATTTGTGCAAAACTCTGGCCAACATTTTTGTTGTCAGTGGGAGAGCAGACACTCTGGAAAAGCAACCTAATTACCTAGATTCTTAATTGTAGTCTTTGGTACCCATTTTTCAGCATTCTGGAGAGAAAATTATGGCTTTTTTTTTTTTCTCCCCCTACAGGAAATTATAATGCTGAACACAGCATGGAAACATTTCAGGATGCATTGATTTAATTTTTTTTTCATGGAACTGAGCCTTTTTGCCTCAATATTGTTCTTTAAGTACATGTTTGCCACCCATCCTGTGGTGTGATACTTTTCTTGTTCCCGTGAGCAGCAAGAAAGAGCTGAGTAAGAATGATAAGTGCCCAGGTAGATCTGATGGAACCAGACCTCTCCTTACAGCACAGTTTGAGGGAGACCTGCCTGGTCTTCCTGGTCCTCTCACTGCTATGCAGGTCCTCTGCTGAAATCCTCTGCAGGATTTCTCTCCTCAAACATTCTTCTCTCTCCATTTCTGTATTTGTACCACCCAACCCTGCAGCATGATAAAGCCAACTGCTACTGCTAGCTAAAGATCTGCAGCTAGTTCACACACCACTGCATTTATGAGTGTCTTTTTTAACCAGGCTGTTCCTTGCTGGTGCAGAATTGAAGACCTGGAAGGTGGTCATAGGCACGACAAGCTGGGGACACTGTCCAGTTTGTGAGCACAGCAGGTTAAAACTAAGTAGCTCCAAAACAAGCAAAGCAGCAACTTTTGCAATCAAACAGGTGACCCCTTTCTCCAGCAACAAGTGTCCTTGGAGCAAGGCACTGCTGTTTGGTAGAGGAACTATTTTGGCACAGACCTAAATAAAGAAGTAGGTGACACAGTGGTAAGTGAAAGGCAGCATGTCTTGCTTGCAAAAGGGAAAAAAAACCCAAACCAAACCAACAAATGGTATTTATAAAATAGAGGAAGGGGATGTAAAGACGTAATGATTCAGAAGAGCTGCCAGGCTGGAGCACACATGTTGATTTAGCTCTGTCTGGCCACTGCCCAGGGGCATCTGCCTGCACAGAAGCTGTTGACATGACAGAGGAAATCCTTTGTTCGCTGCTCCCACCATCTCTCCTGAACGATTTAGCTCAGGCTGAGGAGTTTTATTGACCCCCCAGAGACAAAACAAGCTGCCAGAATGCAATATTTGATTTCCTAGGCTGAGGGTGGGAGGGGAAGTGTTCCTAACAGTGCTCTTCTCCCAGCCTCCAGAGCTGTTTATTTTTAAACGTTTTACTCTGGAGCCTCATGACTGGGGGAATAAGCTGTTTGTGGCTAGCCTTGATACAGATCACTTCCAGACCCTCTGTTTACAAATTTCCACTCGAGACCAGAAACATGGGGACAAGGCAATGGGGAAGTTACCAAAGATTTTGCCACTTTTGAAACACCAACAATGGATCTCCCCTGGCAGCAGAGCAAGAGCCTGGGAGCCCGATGCAGACCAGTCACTCCAGCTGGTATCCATCCCTCCCATCCAGCTTTGGAGAAATAATCTGAGCAGAAACATCTGGACTCTGCTGAGCAGGAAGGGTCCATGTGGCTCACAAGCAGCTAAAATGCAGTTCCCAAGCCACAGTCCCATCATATGACTAACAGCACAAGGGCTCCTGAGTAATAGGGACTCCTAGCCATGGAAGTAAATGAGCCAAGGCTGCTGAGTCACCCTGGGACACCTGCCAAGTCCAGCTTCACATCACACCCCGGTGGAAGACCCTATCACACCACCTCTGGGGCTCTCCAGGTGCAGGAGATGTGGCCTTTGACGTGCACCTTGTGCAGCAGAAGCTCCAGAAGGTTTTCCATCCCTGCACTAAGGTGAGGGCCCAGCCTTTCTTCCCCCTCAGGAATGCACTGAGATCTCCACAGTTCATTCCTGATGTGCTGGGCAGAGTGTCTGCAGGACACTGGCTGCCCGGGAGCAAGAGGGTCCTGCATGCTCTAACTGGACCAAATCAAACCTGGCCACAGGTTCTCCTTCATCCAACCATGTGTCAGCTGTTAGCTTGACTGCACACCTGCCTTCCCTGAGGATAACTCACTGCATTCCCTCAGATTCCTGTTCTCTGGGCTGCAGATCAAACCCTCGATGTGCACAGAACACTGAAGATGAGGGAAGTACAAACACAGCTTTGTTACAACAGAGCTGCCAGTTCTGGTGTCCTACTGCTCTCAGCAGTAACCTGTTATCTGTGTGGTCCACAGGCCAGGCTGCAAATCCTGGACAACCAACCCCAGCTCTGTGCAGTGCCTCTGCTAACTCCTGGACAGACAGAAGGATTGGCTGTGGACAAAAAGCCTGGCAGCCTTGGGATGGAGTTCTACAGTCACTGCACACATGCCAGCTCCCTGCTCAGCAGGTCCAACACCCCCCAGACACACCGTGTCCCTTGAACACACAACCTGCACACGTGGGATGCCCTCAGGATGTGTCAGGCTCTGTGCCCGTGTGGACAGTCCCACCCCGAGGCACACAGCACCCAAGTCCCACTGCTTCAGCCCTGAAAAAGCTCATGGCTCCTGTACACAGCCAGGGTGAATCTTCCAAAACCTCTCTGCAGAGCCCAGCACAACTAATGGCTTTCCAGCCTGGCCTCTTTTTGTCTGAACTTTGCAGCACTGTTAAGTCATATCTGGTTCAGTAGCACACATGCCTGGAAAAAGGACTGAGAGATACTCAAAGACCAACACCCGTGAATACATTTCCTCCAGGGCTGCATCCAATTTGCATTTCACCAGCTTTGTACACAGCTTCTCAGCCCCCGAGGTGTTTTGCCCTACAGAGAAGGACACACTAGCAAATTCCTATTCCAGGAACAGCTGGAGGACTTTCCATGAGCACCATAAACACCAGAAACTTGCTTCTCCCTGCGTGGGTACAGCTCAAGGTTAGTCCCTTCAGCCCGTCACAGACAAAGGGCCAGATTCTTGGCAAGCCCTTTGCCTCCCAGCTGTTAAACAAGGTTGAAGCACACAAAGCACACTGAGACCTGCAGTTGCTCCGAGCAGAGACCCACAGTCCCACCTACAAGGTACCAAACCCGCAGCTTAGGGACAGAGAAGGAGGCTCAGCCCTTACCTCGGGGGACCTCACAGCATTTTGAAAGACGGCGTAGGCAATAATTGAGCTGGAACCTATAACACTGAGAAAACAAAGCACAGGTTGGAACAGGAACACTCCGCCTCGCTGGGATAAGCGATTTCCCTTTTTTTCCGGAGAAAATCGTCGTTGCAATAGCAAGTCCACGGCGGGGTCGCGGGTTTAGCAGCGCGATGTACCTGAGCATGGCCATGGTGAACTGTATCCAGTGGAGAGCCGAGTAGACCTGGAGAGAAGGACGGGGGGAGCTCAGCGCGGCCCCCTGCGCGGCGGGGACAGCCCCACGGACAGGCGGGGGCTCCGCGGGCACCCGCGGACC